AATCGGGTCGAGCGCAGATTGGGCGAGCGGCGGTCTAAGCGACGGCGCGGGGAGCCTTGAGTGGCTGGCGTTGACTGTCAGTCGGTGGGGCGGCCGGCCGCACTTCCGCCTCGGTGTCAGTGGGTCGCGGGCCTGTGGGGCGGGGGCGGGGCGGGCAGCAAGGCTCCCCGGGCGCCCGACGGACTGCAGTCCAGGTGAGTGATCCCGGCCGGGACCCCGGCCCGGACCCCGCGTTGGCGGGAACGGCTTCCGGCCTCGGGCGGGCCTAGGCCGCGGGCGGGCGGCGGGGAGGCCGGGCCGGGCTGGAGCCCCGCGCCCACCGCCCAGCGACCAGGCCCTGGCCGGACCCGACCCCCGCCGCGCGGCCCCGAGGAAACTTAGGGGGGAAGTTGGGGGCCGGCGGCGGGGCAGCGGGTTTGGGTCCCGGGCGGCCGCCAGGCCCCCGCGTCTCCGGGCAACTGCGGCCCCGGGCCGGTCCTGCCGCCGCCGCCGGAAGTGGGTTCGGGGGGCGCGCGGGCCCGGGACGCCCGCCGGCCGCGACCGCGGTCAGGGCCGTCAGCGCAGTGGGCTTGCCGGCAGCGGGGGCACTGAGACCCCTGGCGTCGCTCGCGTATTTGCGGAGAGGAGCTGGTGGCCGACCGCCTGTGGGACCGCCGCCCCCCGGGAGCAGCGTGCGGCGCCCACCCCTAGTCCGCCTGGTTTGTTTACAATCGGCCAGCTCGGCGGCGCGCTCGGCGCACAGGGTGCGCTCGGCGCGCTGGGCTGGGCTGGGCTGGCCCTCCGCTTTTGGAAGGGCCCTCGCTCGCGTTCAACGTCAGCGGCCGCGCGAGTGCGGCCGGCTTTCCAGCTCGCTGGCTTTGCCCGTTTGTAAGCGCAGATCAAGGCTGGTTGTCACAGCTTCTTTCCTTCCCGGTTCAGTTTCAGGAATCGATCACATGCCTGGCGGTCACTGTGTAAGTCTGTGAGCCCAGCCCCAGCCCGCAGGGCAGTCACAAATCAGACCTCCCGGTGTGTCCGGGTCGAGGAGCGAGGTGGGTAGGCATCCCGGCTCTCCTGAGTGGGAGGGGCGCCTCCCAGGAAGCTGTGCTCTTTTGGGGAGAGTTTCATCCTCAAGGGTACATCGAGGACAAGCTCTGGACCAGGAGTCAGCCGTTCTTGCCCAAGTCCCTTTGCTGGGACGCCTGTGAACATCTGGAGACGAGGCCCCCTCGGTGTCCCCTCCGCCTGCTGCCTGGTCTCCATGCCCCTGGTGGGGGGGGGGAGGCCACGGCTAGAGAGCACAGGGCGCTCCTGACTGTGCCGGGCCACTGTGTCATCCCGTCCCCCAGCCTCGGTCCCCACCTTCGTGACAGGTACCGTGTGCCTGGCAGGGCTGACCAGCGGGGCCCTGGCCAGGCATCCCCACCCTTGCCTGGGCCGGGGACAGGAACCTTGCCTGCGGCCCTTCCTCTTTGCCCGGCCCAGTGCCTGGCCTGGTGTTGTCATTTAACACATGACGATGAGGAAATAGGTGACCTCCTGAGTAGAATTTCCTTTCCTGTTTGCCTCACCTGCCCTCCATTAGCAGCTCTTGCCTAAGGTGGTGGTGACGCGTGGCCTTGCTCCAGGGTGGCTCACAGCCACTTCCTCCGCGGCGAGCTTCCCAACAGCCCGCGTGGCCGGCGCCGACGTCGTCCTGAGCCCACTCCGGTGGGGGCTGCAGAGCAGAGAGGCTACGTCCCTCGCCCGGCATCTCACAGCTGTGGAGCTGGGAGGCAGGCTGGCCCCGAGTTCATGCACTTAAACGCCTTCCCACGCTGCCTTGTAAAACCAACGTAGTCATTCCGTGTCACCTGAATGTTTTTTAGAACGTTCTAACTGTAAACATTACCACGCGTCAGCACTTTGTTTCTTCCTGCAGAGATACTATTTTTTTTCTCTGCACAAATGCTTATAAAACCACTTTATTTCTTCTAAAATAATTCTCTGTCTCCCCCAGATTTCGCCGAAGCCCCTTGCCGTGTGAGTGCTGAGGTCGCTGCGTGTAGGGGGTGAAGGGGGGAGTCGCGGGGCTGGGGCAGGCGGGGCTGGCAGCTGGTGGGGCACCGTCCCTCTCTTGCCTCCCTACGGGCCCGGGCTTCCCTCTGCCTGACACTGTGCCACGCGCAGTGTCGCTTTGGTGTTTAAGAAGCACCACTTTCATCCCAGAGGCTCCTATCCAGGCACAGCTTAAAAGCTGCTCCACTTTGAAATTTTGTTACATCCAGCTAATTAATTACAGAAGTAACAGTTTTTTTGGTGGGGAAAGTTTTGAAACATTTTATGTACTTTTTTTAAAAAAAGGCTTTTAGAGAGAGGGGAAGGGAGGGAGAAAGAGGGAGAGAAACATGATTGCCTCTCACATGTCCCCCACCAGGGACCTGGCCAGTGGCCCAGGCATGTGCCCTGACTGGGAATCAAACCTGCGACCTTTGAATCGCAGGTTGGCACTCACTCCACTGAGCCACGCCAGCCAGGGCTTCACTTTATGTCCTTTTATACTATCTTCAAACAGGGAGCCACTGTCTCTTGCCAGCGGTTGCTTTGGTCTCCCTGTGGGGGCACAGGCCCCCTCTTTCATGGAATCGCAGCTGTGGGAGCAATAGGTGTGTCGGGCTCACGTGTTTGCACGACAGCGCTGATCGCGGGCCTCGAGGTGACTCCCATGTTCCGTTACAGAGGTTAAGACGCCTGGGTGTCTGGGGGGAGCGTGCAGGCCGGGGCTCGCGGGTCCTGGCCCCTCTGACTTGCAAAAGGGAACTGACCTGCTCTCGCCTTCAGGGTCCCTGCCCACACAGTGGTGTATTGTGCCAGAACACATGTGCAGAAATGCAAGGGGAGCTCCTGGTGTGGGACTAGCCGCCCAGTCCCCCCCCGGCCGCCGCCCTGAGCGTGCTGAAATTGACGCCCCAACCGTGGCTCTCACGCACACGCATGCGGTGCAGGAGGCAAGCTGAGGGAATCTCTGGTCGGCGCGTTCGCGTCCCACTGCGTGTCACTGTAACACGTTAAGCTTATGGCTGCGCAAGTGAGGAGGTGCTCGTAATAAGCTCCCAAGCCCGCGAGGACCTGCTGTTGCACGGACCGCAGGGCACGCGCTGGCTCCGGAGCCCTGCCAGGCTGCCTGCCCGGCGGCGCTGCCCGTGCGGGCTGGGCACTCGCTGTCAGGTGCGGGATGGGACCCTGAGCCAGGGTCCGCTCTGAGGCTGCCTTTTGGCTTATGGAGGCTGAAAGGTTGGTGTGTGAACACGCCCGAGCATTAGGAAATTTGTGAACCCTAAGAGCGAATGTTTAAGGTTCGAGTTAGACACTTTTTGTGGTTTCCATACACTGTGGCCAATTTGTACCTCTGCGGTAATTTTTACTTTTCCCAGTGTTTTCCTGGTAAAGTCAGGCACGGGTACTGGCACGTCCGAGCCTGCCCTGGGAGCACGGGGTCGGGCGCTGGCCTGCGCCTGTGGGCCTCCCCGGCAGCCGTGCGACTAAACGGCCGCTCGGCCGTGCCCGGGGACCGGACAGTGCTTCTGTCCTGTTCTTTCCAGATTCAGAGAACTTAGGGTCACAGGCAGGATTTCAGAACATTACCATTCCTCCCACTGGCCCTTCTGGTAACGCCAGTCCCCTGACCTCGGCCGCGGCCCCTGCCTGGCAGGGGCGGCCTTCGGGGGCGCGGGGTGGCCTGTTGGAGCAGCAGGGCCACTTGCGGGCCTTGCCTGGTGTTGCTGTGTCTCCCTTTCGCCATCTGCGTGTGCCAGTGGCAGTGTACAGGGTTATTTCATTTTTATTTTTTAAAATCTTCACCCAAGGATATGTTCGTTGATTTTAGAGAGAAAGAAAGGGGGAGGGAGGGGGAGAGAGAGACGTTGATGTGAGAGCGAAACATTGATCAGTCGCCCCCAGTGTGTGGCCGGGCCAGGGATCAAACCCGCAGCTTTTTGGTGCACGGGAGGGCACTCCAACCAGCGGAGGCCCCGGCCCGGGCCAGGGCCGTTTGGAGATGCGGACTCCGGGAGGGGGCTGGCTGCGCCAGCCCTGGCCCCGTGGTCTGCTCTGAGCATGGCCTGGGCATCTCCCTCCCATGGCTCCTGTTTTTTCAGGAAGCCACCAAGTCATGTGGGCTGGGAACCGGCCGAGTGGCCCTTGCCCGGGCAGACCTGCCTGACTTGAGCTTAAGGCTGGGCCAGAGGGCGCGACCGCCGGCCTTACAAGACGCCGGTGGTTCCGCGAGGCTCGCCCCAGCCCCCAGTGCAGGGCGCTTGGGGAGGTGGCCCGAGAACCGTCTGCAGGGCGGTTGTCCTGACCTCGGGGTCAAGGCGACGGCAAGGGCACACAGTGACTCACAGAAGGCGTGGCGTGTGTCCCCTGAACAAACACAGGCTGCTCCCGGGAGGTCGTGAGAAAAGGCAGCTGTGACCTGCCACCTGCACACCGGGCTGGGCTGGAAAGTGGCTCCTGCCAGTGCTGGTCGGTGACCGTCAGCCACCCGGGAGGGTGAACGGGAGCGCGGGAAGGATGGGGCTGACCAGGGAGCCTGTCCGACGCCGTGAGGGAGAAGGGCCAGGGCCCTCTGGTACCGGAGTCGGACGAGTCAGGCTCCGCGTGCTGGCGCCCCGCAGCGGCGTCACCGCGGACGTCACAGCACACCGGGCGGCCGAGCGCTGGGCGCGGGCGCCGCCCTGGTTCTCGGCCGCCGTGCGTACCTGCGTGCGTGTGTGCGTGCCTGCGTGCGTGCCTGCGTGGCGCTCGGCGCTGGAGCTCGTCCGGGTGCAGGGTCTTTGGGGGAACCTCGCGAGACTTTGAGGGAAGGCCCGGGGACTGCTGTGCGGCCTGTGGTCAGCGGTGCTTGGGCCCCTGTGGTGCTGTCACGTAGTGTTGGGTCAGGAGCTCCCTTTGATAACCTGATGAAGGTCTGAGTCATCTTCCTGGGGAAAAGGGAACACAAGCAGAAGTTTGTCATTTTTTCTTTTTCTTGTTATCTCTTCTTTAGGGGGTATAGAAATTCGAGGATTTTCTCGACCTTGGTTTAACCCCATCCCCCTCGGTGCCCCGGGCGTGGAGGTGGCAGCGAGCGGGCAGGTCTCGCGCAGGGTGACTGATTTCCCAGCACAGTGAGACCGGTTTGGAGGCGGAGCAGGTGGAGGTCGGGGAGAGCTGAGCAGGCGGCCCGGGGTGGGGGAGGGCGTTAGGCGAAAGGGCGAGGAGGTCAGGCTGGACTCCAGGTCCCGTGGAGGTGGCATCCGAAGCATCCTACCCGGCTGCATGGACGCCGTGGGCGGGGCAGCAGGCGCGCAGGCGAGTGGGTGCCCTGGGACACGGTGGCTCCCGAAGCGCCTCCTCACACCCCGGGTTTCCCGCCGCCCCAGGGCCGCGCTGCTGGGTTTCCAGCCGTCCAGCCGCCATCTGCCGGTGCAGGGCCCTGGTTCTGCCCCTGAGAGGTGGACAAGCAGGGGCCGTGGCCCTGCAGATGGTCTGATTTCCATGCTGCTCTCAGGGTGCAGGGCGCCTGCGGGGAGGGGGCTGCGCTCCTACGCAACGACCCGCTCCCCTCCACCCACGTCGGCGTTTGGACTGCGTGTCTCGCTGTTACGGAGTGGACCGGCGCAGTGAATGGACACAAACGTGCTTGCACGCAGAGCTCCCATGCCTCTCGCGTGTGTCAGGAAGTGCCTTGTTCTGGGTTGTTCCGGACCACACAGCCCCCTTTCTCGAGGCGGGTGATGTGTCCTTAGCACTGGCTGTTGAATGGTCAGCTTGGTCCAGGGGAGGCCAAGGCCGGGGGTACTTGTGGCGGGTGGGGCTCTAGCAGCCCTCACTTGCTGGTCGCAGCAGGAAGGGCTGGTCCGGCGGCTGGCCCCTGGGCCAGGCTGGCGTCCCCTCTGCCTCCTGTGTCAGGGCCGCCCTGCCGGCTGGAGAGCAGGGAACGGCAGGTGGCTGGCGTGTGGCTGAGAGAGCGTGGGAGGTCCGTCACTGCCCTTCCCCTGGAAGCCTTGTTTCCGGCATGAACCGCCAACAGGTCCGCCCTCCCGCTCCACGTGGGGTGAGCGAGTGGGCCCCGGGATGTGGTCTGGACCGGGGGAGCGTGGCGGCGCCTGAGGAAGGCCCCGCCGCAGGGCCGGGGATGCTCCCTTACTGGTTTGCCCCCTGATGGCGCTCTGGCGGGCCAGCTGGCCAGCCTGTGTGCTGCTCAAGGGGAAGGAACCAGCCTCCCGGAGCCTTTGCTGCGGAGCCCCTCCCGGGTCGCGGACGCGCGAGTGCTTGGGTGCTGTGCAGGCCGGGCCAGGGCCTTGGGTGGGCCGTGCCAGGACTGGAGGGGACGTGGCTGACCTGCGCTGCCTCCCTCTCCCAGCCTCCCAGCTGCAGCCCCGAGGCTGCTCTCTCCTCAGCCGGCAGCACAGACGGGAGGGTGGGCCGAGGCGCCACAGCTGAGGCCTGGCCAGTGAGCGTGGAGAGTGGGCTTGGCCTGAGCCCTGCCCTGTGTCCCATCCCGCTGGGCCGTGTGGGGCGGCTCTGCTGCTTCCGCCTGGGTCTGCGTCCAGGGACGGGGACTGCCTGCCGGTCCGACGTGGCCCTGTCCGCTGCTCTCCCGTTTGGCGGGGCCCCTCGTACGGTTCTGGGTGGCCTGGTGGTCTGTGGAGTGGCCCGCCACGGGGCCCACCTGGGGAGGCCAGCTGCCCTGTCCAGGACGCAGCCCGCTTGCCGCACGTGGCCCGCATTCCGTTCACGAGCGGCGCACGGGAGTGAGTGGCCGCCTCCTCTCCGCCTTGGCCCCAGTTCCAGTGCCCATGGCACTGAGTGGGCAGCACAGGGGGGCGCTTTGGCCAGGCCGCGGGGCCACGGCGCCAGAGGCCAGGTCGTGGCTTCCAGTGGTGTTTTTTTGGTATTCTCACCTGAGGACATTTTTTTTTTTTTTTTTTTTGGTGCTTTTTTGTGGGGGGGGGGGCAGAGAAAGAAACATTGATGTGAGGGAGTTATGGGATTGGTTGCCTCCCTTATGCGCCCCAGCCGGGGACTGAACTAGCAACTTTTCGGATACAGGACGGCGCCGACCAGCGGAGCCACCCAGCCAGGCTGTGAGGTCTCTCTCTTGAAACGCGGGTGTCCAGCCCACGGCCCAGGGGCAGCACGTGGCCCGACACAAAATCATAAATTCTCAAAACGGTGCCAAGTTTTGTACTAAGCTTTCTTACTTAAGAGATGTGCGTCTCTCATATCAGCGACCAGAAACTCGGGGCCTGTTTGACGGTTTTAAAAGAACATCGGAAGGGCCGCTGCGTAATGAGGCTACCCTGCGAGGGCGTCCGCGCTTACCTGTGGCAGCGGGCGCCACGGAAATTACGTGCAGGCTTTCCTTTTGCGCATCGGTTTTCGTTAGTGTTTGTGTGTTTAATGTGTGGCCCGGAGAGGCCAAAAGGTTGTACACCCTGTTTTAAAATCTGATGTGTCAGTGGCCTCACGCGTCCTGGAGAGTGTCCCCTGGGCCCCGGGGGGGACCAGGCCTGCTGCTCCGTGTGTCACCGACATCCTCTGTGCCGGGCTTCTGCCGGCCTATTGCTTGTTACTGTGTTTTAAAGTATTAAATGGATTTTATATTGTTTTTAACTATTTGAATTCAGAATTCACACTGAACCTGCGGAGCGGGTGCGGCGTTCCCGTGCACTCAGGGGACCTCTCCCACCCTGCAAGGTCGCCGGGGGCGGGGGGGGGGGCTGCCCCACCCGTTTTCTACCAAGAAGTCGCGCAGACTCTCCTCCTCAGTGGCCCGGCCACGGAGGCCCAGGCCTGTGAGCTCGGGCCGGTCGGTCAGCATCTCAAGGCGCCCGGCCCTGCCTCCCTATGGCAGGTGTGGAGGCGGTCGCGGCAGGCTTGTGCGCCAGCCGGCCCAGCGGCGGGGCGGGCTGTGTCCTGAGCCCGGGTTCGGAGGGATGGTCCGCCCGGTCCGAGCGCTCAGAGCTGGACGGGCTCTTCTCAAGGTCGTGGGCGCTTCGTGGGGAGCCGGCAGGCACAGTGGGGGATCCTGGGCTGTGCCCCAGCTGGGCCCCTGTGGAGAGACTGGGAGCGAGGACTCACTGCAGCCATGAGAGGCCCACGCCTGGGCCGAGCTGGTGGCCGCTGTGGCCGGTGGGCCAGCGCACCGGGCCGTGCAGCCCCTGGGCCCGCTCCCCCTCGCTCCTTCGCTGCTGCCGCTTCTGTAAGTGGCTGCGCGCCACCTGCTCCTCTGGCTGGGCAGCGGTGCCGGCAGCTGCACAGGACGGTCACGGTAGAGGCTTGGTGTGTCCCTTCGCTTGCCAGTTCCTGAAAGGGCGTGTTGGCCTTGCCAGCAGCGACCGTTCTCCGCCTGTTCAGCATCTTTGTGAACTTGCGACAGGACCGACCAGTCGGCCTCCGTGTGGCGCACGGCGCTGCGTGGACAGAGAGCTAGGTCCTGGGGGAGAGCCGAGGCCCCCGATGCTGCGCGCGCTGCCAGAGCTGGGCTGTGGGGACAAGGCCGACCTTTGGCTGCAGCGCCCTGCTGGGCACGCCGTGGAGCGGGAGGGCACAGCGAGCCTCGGCGCCTCGGAGGAAGCCGGGGCTCTCAGCTTTGCCGGCAGCTGCTGGCTCACACAGCGGCTTGTTCAGGACTGAAAGTCGGTTTTGTGTTGGCGCGGAACAATATTTTAACGTGATTTTCCATGTATAACACCTGCCCGCTTCTGATAAAGACCTGCAGTGGCCTTTGGCGCGATTCCTGAGCGTGCCTGCGCGCCACGGGCGAGCCGAGACGTGCCTGTTCACGCGACTGCCCGAGTTAGCCGTTTCATTTTTATACAGCTCTAGGTGATGGTTTTAAATAAAAATAACCCTTCAAATACTGATTATTTACTGACCTATTCATTGATGGGTATTTGTGTCATAACTGTTTCCTCTCGTATTTTCTGAAATCGTGCATTTCTACGAGATCAGTTTATTTCTTTGCTAAGATGTAAATGAGACTGATTTAAAAAATGATGAAAGGGGATTTGAAAAACGTTTCCAAACCATAAAACTTCTGAAAGCTAAGAATGCCGCACCGCTTCTTCCCTAGATCTCTGCCACCCGTCGGACGTTCCCCCCACGTGGCCCGTGTGGCGCCGCCCGCTGCCGATGTAGCCCCGGGCGATGACTCAGTAGGGACGACGGGCCGGGCAGGGGCCTGGCCGCCTGAGGATGAACGGGGACGAGGAGTTCTTCGACGCGGTCACAGGTGAGCGCGGGGCACAGGAGCTGCTCACCAGCTCCTGGGGGAGGCCCCGACCCAGGGCTCGGGCCTCACCTTTGGGCCAGGAGGGCCGCCTGGAGAGCCGGTCCCCAGGCCTGACGCCCAGAAAGCGTGACCTGGGACCACAGGAGGCGATGGGAAGGGCCGCTGAGGTTCCAGCCTTCCCAGAGTGGCCTGAGGTCGGTTAGTTTTCGATCCTCCGCTGCCGCTTTGAGGAGCGGCGTGCTGGCTGCCGTGGGAGAGCTGCCACGCCGTGACGGGACGTGGCGGGGGAGGCCGGGCTGGGGTGAGCCCCGTGCCCTCGGAGCAGCCCCCGCCCCGTCGCGGCGACCAGGCGAGGCCTGGAACGGGCGGGTCCAGCTGGCCACCGCGCTGCCCACCCCTCGGGGAGGTGGTTTTGTTTCTTGCAGGGGGTCGTTGCTGTGGTTTGGGGCTGGCGGAGGCCATAGCCCACTGTCGGCTCCTCAGCGAGGGCAACGCAAAGGGGCGGCTCCTCACGGGCGGCTGCAACCCCCCGCCCGACTCTGCAGCAGAGCCAGTGGGCCCCGGCTCTCATGGAAGGGGACACGCCCTCCTCCCCAGCATGGCCTGTGCTGTCCCAGGGAAGACTCGGGGGGACGGGGGGCGTCATGGAGCTGGGCTGTCGGCGGCTCTTCCTGGGGCATCTGATGGCCCTGGAGAGCATGCTTGACAGTAGCTCCCGAGCCCTCAGCAGCTCTTAGTCCCAGCGCGCCTTGGCGCGGAGGCCCTGGTGTTACACCCACCGCTCGCCCTCTCGGGGAGCGTCACGGTCGGATCGGTCGGGCAGTTGCGCAGCGCGGCGTCCTTCACCCTTCGAAGCCAGCGCAGTGGGCAGGGCCTCGGTGCGGCGCGGCGTAGTCGGCAGGCGCGCCCCGGGTGCAGGGGGCAGGTCGGAGCACTGCCTCCCTGCCCGCGGTCCCCGGGGAGCAGAGCCAACCGTTCCGAACGTGCCCACCGCAGGCAGCTGGGCGCTGCGGCTGTGCTGCTGGCGTGGGAGACGGGACGCCGGCCCCCGCCTCCCGCCTCCCGCCCTGCAGAAGTCACCCTCTGCTTGTCTTGCGCAGGCTTCGACTCCGACAACTCCTCTGGGGAGTTTTCAGAGGCAAGCCAGAGAGCCTCTGGCGTGGCTGACGTGGACACCCGCAAAAGCCATGGCGTTGGCAAAGCCGGGGAGGGACCCCCTCAGGAGAATGGGGTTCAAAAGCACAGGTACGTTGCCCTGCACCTGTGTTTTAGAACCTCCCAGCATGTAGTGGCCCCCTGCATGCCCGAGCAGAGGCGTCTAACGTTCGGGTCGGAAACAAGAAAAAAGTGGTCACTAAGCAAAACTAGCCATTGTAGGTGAACCTGCCGTTGGATGAGTAATAACAGGTGTTGCTGGGGTTGCTGCTTTTCAGGACGCGCCTGCCGGCCCCGACGTTCACCAGGAGCGACTTCAGCCTGTGGGGGATACTGAAGAAGTGCGTCGGCCTGGTGGGTGTGATGGCCCGTCGGGCGCCCGTGGGCCCGCGCCTCCGGCCCGTGAGCCGTGTGTGCGCCCGCGTGGCCGGCACGTGACGGGCGAGGGGCGGCCAGGCAGCAGCACACGCTCCGGGGGTGGGACCCAGGCGCGTCCCTGCTCGCGCTCCTGGCCGGCGGCCTCTGTGATCAGCATGAGGCGGGGTGTTTGGGGGTTCACAGAGGGCGATCCCCAGCCCGCCCTCGCAGGGCTGCCGGCAGAGCTCAGGGACCCAGAGCCTGTGGCCGAGGGAGGAGGCCTCGGGGTCGCGCAGCCGCAGGCTCTGTCTGGCCTTGCTCCTCCGTCAGCGAGAGCCCGCGCTGCGCCTCCCGGGGGGCGCCCCCAGGGCCGGGCGGGCTGGCACAGGGCCGTGTTCGGACAGGCCGGTGCGGCGTCCGCGTGGGGGTGCGCCCGGGGCCCCTCCGGTGCCGTCCCGTCTGTCCTAGTGCCCAGAGGGAACATCACGGTTTTTTGCAACTGTTTTTTTTGGAAAAAGTTAAGACTTTATAGAAAGTTGCAGAACTTCCTCGTGGTGGCAGCGGTGCGGGGACCCAGCAGAGGGGCCCATGGCAACACGGCTGTCGCCTGAACCGCGCCCTTGACCTGGCTTTCCTGGTCCTCTGAGGCCCTTCAGTGGAGGCTGGTGTTTCGCACCGAGATGCACGGCGGGGTGTGGCCGCCGCCCCAGCAGCCCACCTGCGCTGCTGTCCGCCCTCCTGCATGTTCCGGAGCTTTCCTCTCCGGCACACCCTCTGCCCTGCTGCTCCCGCGGCACAGTCTGACCAGGCGGTGCTTTCCGGGGGGCGGCCGCCTGTGACGCCCCGCTGTCCACACAGGAGCTGTCCAAGATCACAATGCCTGTCGCCTTCAACGAGCCCCTGAGCTTCCTGCAGCGGCTCACGGAGTACATGGAGCACACGGCCCTGCTGCACAGCGCCGCCTGCCAGCCCCGCGCCCTGGAGCGCATGCAGGTGGGCCGGCCCGGCCAGCGGGGGCGGGGCGGGCGCAGGCTGGGCTTTCAGTGGAAGTGACACCAGGGGACTGGCCACATCACGGCAGGGACCCGGCACCCCAGGGCAGAAGGCCCGCTCGCCCGGGCTGCCCGGCCAGTGGCTGAGGCCTCCGGGCCGGGCCTGCTCCCCGTAGGTGCTCCTGTGCATGTGCGGGCCTGGCTCCTCCCGGGTCTTTTCAGCACCGCCACCTGTGCGTGCGCGTGCGCCGTGAGTGCCCGTGCCCCGGTGCGTGTGCCTGCGGGACGGACGCGCTGCCCTGCGTGGGGCCTATGAGGGAGGACAGGCCGGGCCCGGAGAGGCGCAGGGCCCTCCGCGCGCGGGGTTGAGGGGGTGGCGGTGACGGGCACCTCCCCGGGAGCTCTGTCGCTCAGACACGTCACGGGGGAGGGGGAGGCCGAACTGGCACCAGCCGGGGGGTCCCGATGCAGACGTGCGAGAGGCCTGCTGCCCCCGCGGCCCAGGGCCCCTTCCCAGGGTGGGGGCCCCGCTCATAGCCTGTGTGTTGTCCACAGTGTGTGGCTGCCTTCGCGGTGTCGGCTGTGGCTTCCCAGTGGGAGAGGACCGGCAAGCCATTCAACCCGCTGCTGGGAGAGACGTACGAGCTGGTCAGGTGAGGCGAGGCCCCGCCGAGCGCGCCGCTCCCCGCCGCACGGTGCTGCCCTCCGAGCACAGACCCCCGCGAGGCGGGCTGGACGGCCGCCGAGGGCCTGGAAGTCGTCGATGAGGGGACGGTTTGCATTCGGGGAACGTCGTGTCGCTCACGACGCAGCCCTGGAGATGCGAAGCAGTTTGAAATGGGGTCCTGTGCTGGCTCGGGGCAGGGGGGAGTCATGGCCGTGGGGCGCGCTAGCTGTCGCCTAAGGTGGAGGCCCTTGCGGGGTCCGGGGGAGCAGTTCCCCGTCCACCTGCGGTCCCAGGATATGCTGTGCAGAGAGCGGGGCGGCCTCGACAGGAGGGGCTGCGTGGGAGGCCGCCCAGAGCTGAGGCGACCACGCGCCAGGGCGTGGTGGGCCCTGAGCCGCCTGGTCTGCGAGCAAGCCCCGGCCTGGCCAGGCCCTGGCGACTGTGCTGTTGTCGACGGTGACTTCTCTGCCACCCGCCCGTGTATCCTGGTGGGAACCTGTGGGGATATCTGATCACGTACAGGTTTGTCTTTAACTGCGAGCGCTTGCTCTGCTTAGAAAATGTGTGAAGTTAAGAAAAGGGAAAAAGACGAGCAGGCCCATCCTGTGAAAGAGCTCGTGTTTGCAGGGCAGGTGTTATGTGTGTCCCTGTCGTTCAACACGGTGCCGTGCTCGCCGGTGTCCCCGCGGCAGCTGAAAGCTTCCTCGGAATCACGGTGTTTCACTGACGGTGAGACACGCTTCATATTTTAGCAGTTCTGCCCGTTGCAGCTCAATTGTGGCATTTTTCTTTCATAAAATAAAATAATGGTGTGTTCAGCAGTCAATGGCCTTGTGGGTTAAAGACGGGTTGTTTCCCGGAGCTCCCTGGCCCTGCGCGCCGGTCCTCCCAGCACGTGTGTCGTGGCGGTCCGTGCACGCAGCTGCTCCCAGCAGGCGCCCTCGGCCGGCCCCAGGGGGCGGGGCCATCCCCGTGGGAGGTGCAGCGGGGCTGCGGCCGGGCACCGCCATGCGCGTCCCAGAGGCTTCCCTGTGCCTGGCGCGTCCTGAGGGTGCAGCGCCGCCCCTTCTCTGGCACCGCGGGTGTGGGGCATCCCCAGGCTCCTCGGTGGGACTGCGCTGGAGTCGGGGCCCCACCGCGCAGAGAGAGCTGGAGCATTAGCGTGCCATGCGTGCCGCCCGGGGCTTGCGCACAGGTGATGGTGCGGCAGGTAAGCGTGGGCGACAGCGTGTCACGGCACGAGGGACGGCAGGGAGCAGCCTTGCACCTGCAGTTTAGAGGAAATGGGGAAACAGAGGCCCGGATGCGGGAAGGACTCGCCCGGGAGTCGCTGCTGAGGGGCCTCGGCTCGGGACTCGGCAGTGCTGTGCCCCAAGGGCTCGGCTGCACGGGCGTCCGCCGCCAGGCCCCCGCCAGGAGCTGGCAGAGGGACAGCATCTCTGCCCATCCCACACAACTGGGACAGGGGTGGCCGAGCGCAGCGTGAGCAAAGGTGGAGACGGCGGGAAAGGCGGCCGCCCGGACGTGGAGTGCCCGGTGCGCCGCCCGCTCCTCCGCCTGCCCAGTGCCTCACCAGGGCCGCGGCCAGAGCCCGCTGGCTCGTGGAGGGACTCACACACTTACGAGCGCCGGCGTGTCCCTCCGTCGGGGTCTCGGTTCCGGTGCCTCGTGTGCCGCGCCGGCGGCTCTTTGTGCGCCCAGGACCTGAGCGGCTTGCCTCTCTGAGCTGCGGGACTGAGCCGAGCCCACCCCGACGGGTTCCTAAAGCTAAAGATAACACTGCTTTTCTTAGACAGGTACTCATTTTATAAATTACATACCTTGGCAGGCAACCTTTAAAAGTCTCATTTTTGAACTTTCCTTTTTCTGTAATGGTTGGAAATTTAGAATCCAGTGAAGTTAGTAATTATGTGGTTTAGCTTTTATCATTTTTAGTGACTACAACTGTAGGTGTATTCACAGCTCCGGAACAATTAAAAAATGACATTTCTATTGAACAAGAGAATGTACTAAAACTCCCATTTCCCGGACAGGAATGTCTTAGGGCCTCAGATGTCCCATGGCAAGACGTCCAGGGCTGTGGAGGGGGCTGGCGGGCCTTCCGGGAGGCGCGAGGACAGGGGCGTCCCCCAGGACCCAGATGGCAGCCTGTCCCCCGGGGCCCATCCTGACAGGCTCCTGCAGGCCTGTGTGTGCCCGGGGTGGTCCTGGGGGGAGCACAGTTCATGCATGTGCGCGCACGCGGGCGCGTCATCATGGCACAGGTTGCATGTCTAACACGTGTGGCCGCGCGGAGTCCTCCCATCTCCCGGTGCCCCCAATCGCTGGGGCGCGGGGCCGTGGGGCCCACCTCGCTGGGGTTCGCTGCCACTCACGGCTCCCCTTCTTTCTCTGCCCCCGACGTAGGGAAGACCTTGGGTTCAGGTTCATATCCGAGCAGGTGAGCCACCACCCGCCCATCAGCGCGTTCTACGCCGAAGGCCTGAGGCAGGACTTCCTCTTCCATGGCTCCATCTACCCGAAGCTCAAGTTCTGGGGGAAGAGCGTGGAGGCGGAGCCCCGGGGCACCATCACGCTGGAGCTGCTCAGGTGGGCACCTGGGCCCGCCCTCTGCCCCCGGGGCCTCTTCTCTGGCTGGGGTGCTTCCGGTGGCAGAGTCGTCCACAGCCACAGGGGGCTTCTCCGCCCTCCCGCCCTGGCGGTCTGGCCGCAGCAGCACACTCTCCTGCAGGGTGACCCCACGCCCCGCAGCCCCGGGGGTGTCTGAGCAGCTGGGACCTGCGCGGGGCCCTGTGAGGTGGCAGTTGGGACGTGGGCCCCCTGCGGCCACGGCACTCGGTGCTGGCTCCCCTCAGAGCCGGGACCCGAGGGGAGAAGCCACCAGAGGGAAGCCACAGCGGCTTCTATGACCTAATCAAGAGGCGGCCCGGCTGTGAGCTGTGCTCCCTGCGCGGCTGTTGGTCAGGCCTGGCCCGGCCCGGCCCGGCCCAGCCCAGTGCCGGGCGGTGTGAGTTCCAGGAACTGAGGCACCTGAGGGGCCGCCTTTGAGGCAGCCCCGCCCCCGTCCATTCTAAACCTGAACGCCACCCGCCTGGCGTGGGTCAAAGTCACCTCGGAGAATGTGCAGTGTTCCCAGCCGTGGCCTGGCCGCTGCGGGCCAGGCTGGGGCACCGCGGGCAGCTCTGGGCGAGGCTGCGATGGCAGCACCGCGGGGCCGTCGGACGGGTCTGTGCCCCGTCGGCCTGGCCCAGCCTGGCCCGCTGCCGCGAGAGGCCGCGAGGACCCTGGGGAGCAGCGCGGTCACCTGGCCCAAGGAGGGCATTCGGGTTCCGCCTGGGAAGTTCAAAGAACTGCAAATAACCACCATGAAATGCTTCTGCTCCCAGGGGAGTTTTACCCTGAGATGCGGTCCCTCAGCGTCCCCAGGCTGAGGGAGGGACCTGCTCCCTCACCCGTGGGGGGCTTTGCCACCGGGAGCGGGGAGCGGGGGAGCAGAGGGAAGGCCTGTGGAGGGGCGGGGGGGGGGGGGGGGGGGCTCTGGGCCCGCTGGGGCAGCCAAGCGCCCTTTGTCCCCTCCTCTTGGGCATTCAGGCGGAAAGCTTTGTTGTTGCTACAAAGGAAAGGAGAAATAAATTTCAAACGAATGCTAAGTGAGTAGCCACTGTTGGAGAGAGTTCAAAGCAATGTTCCGGAGCCGCAGGCTGGGAGGCAATTAGGTTCCGCTGTGTCGAGGGTCGCCTCCGGTTGGGTGCCTGCCTTGCGGGCACTGACGGTGTTTTCTGGCCTCGCACAGGCACGGCGAGGCCTACACCTGGACCAACCCCACCTGCTGCGTGCACAACGTCATCATCGGGAAGCTCTGGATAGAGCAGTACGGCACGGTGGAAATCCTCAACCACAGGTAGCGGCGCAGGCCGCGCGGGGCCTCTGGGCGGGCGCGGCACACCGAGGGCCGCTGTCTGGGGCGCCGGCTGCTGCTGTGGGGCCGTCTACGCTCAGCTCGGCGTGCTGCACCCGGCGGTGGGGCCCCTGCCGGGGCCGGGCCCTCCGCGTCTGGACAGGGCACCCCAGGTCCTTGTTGGGGGGGCCTGGTCTGGTCAGCGTTGAGTCACCAGTCATGCTCCATGGAGAAACTCATTTTCTTTCTAATCACAAATTGACTGACTTTGAAATTTCAAACAACACTGAGGAAGAGCGCAGTTCCCGGGTGACGATAGTGACCATCCTCTGACCTGTCCCCTCCCCTCTGCACTTGCCGCTCCCTCCTCCTGGACCAGCACGACTGCCCAGTATGCCTGTCCACAGCTCTGTTGAAATGCGATCGACATGTCCGAGGTCCGCCCGTCTCAAGCGGACGCTTAAGTGACTCGTAGTAACTCTGCCGGACCAGGCAGCCATCCCAACGGGCCGGGCCGGAGCCTCCGCCCCTCCTGGCGAGGCCCCGTGCCCTTGGCCGTGGCTCCCGCTGCCCCCCGCCCCGCAGCCTGTCCATACCCCCTGCTCGCCCCCCTTCCGGCCCCCGGCCCTCAGCAGAGGCCTGCACGTTCCTCCCGCAGAACCGGGGACAAGTGTGTGCTGCACTTCAAGCCGCGCGGGCTGTTCGGCCGAGAGCTGCACAGGGTGGAGGGGCACATCCAGGACAAGAGGTGGGTCTGGCCTGCGGGGCCTCGGGCCGGTGGCTGTGCGCTGGGCGGGTGCGGCTCTCGTGCCGCTCCTTTAGAAAAAGCACTTCGTTATCAGGCCTAACAGGAGACAGAAATACGTTTTCAGTGTTGTTCCTCCGTGTTGCGCTCTCGAGGGTAAAAGACAAGAGGGACCTCGGGAAATGGGACGTCGCCGGGGGGGGGGGACGGGGCTGCAGCCTCGTGCGGGCGGCAGACACCAGGGACGGGGCCGTGTCTCCTCCCCTGGTGCCTCTGTGGCCCCCAGCCGTCCCGTCGCAGGCGGGGAGGCTCAGACACTGCCTCTGGGAGCCTCCTGTCCTCGGGCTGTTCTTGCGGGTCCGTGAATCAGGCGTTAAAGGTTCTGCGAGCAGAGAAGGGGCCAGAAGCAGGCGTTAAAGGTTCTGCAAGCAGAGAAGGGGCCGGAAGCAGGCGTTAAAGGTTCTGCAAGCAGAGAAGGGGCCGGAAGCGTTTTCACAAGTTTTCTGAGTTCCTTTCCCCCTTCGGGCTATTTATCGTATGTTTTGGGTCTCAGTTTTCTCATTTTTCCCCTAAGTAATTCGGCCCGCGGAATGTGACAAGGCTCCTTCCGGCTCTAAGATGGGTACATTTTCGGTGGGAAGCAAGCGACTCTGTGAAGCAGCAGGTCGTCTGCTCAATCCCACTCGGCTGGGGCCAGAGGCCGCCCAGGCGGCCCAGAGACCACCTCACCCTACAGCTCTGCCCACCCGGCCCCTTGGACAAGTCGGGACCTGTGCCCACCCGCGGGCAGGGGGACCGCCCGGTCAGCAGCCTGTCCGTGGTGGAGACCCCGGGAGGCTCCTGAGCGAGGAGCAGCGGCTCTCCAGGCTGAGCCGCTGAGGCCCCCCAGGCGCCCACCCTGGGAAGGGGGCCTCCTTTCGGAGCCGCACGGGCTGACCTGGGAAGGCACCCAGGGGTTGTGTGGCTGCCCGAGGGGGTCCGTGTGTGGAGGCTGGTGCGCGAGGCGGCCACGGGGCCCCCAGGGAGGGCCGGGCCGGGCCGCAAGCCGCCCATGGGGTCGGCGTGCCAGCAGAGAGACGGCGCCTGCGGAGTTCGCGCGAGCGCTCGGCCTCCCTGCCTGGCCGTCCCCTCGGCTGCCTGCCCTGCCCGTTTTCTTCCTTCCTTTCCCTTTTGCCTCGGTTTCTCAGGGCGTTTGGTGTCGGTCTCAAATGCATGAGCAGAGATCCAAAAACGCCCATCTTCTCCACTGCGTTTCTGTGCAGAGAGAGCCCGAAGTGGACGAGATGAGCCAGGAGGGACTTTACCCCGGGGTTGGAACCCAGGCGCCGCACGCTGGGCGGCGCTAGTGCTGCTGCCTACTGGGTGTTTAACCCTTTCGTTCCAGCAAGAAGAAGCTCTTCGTCATCTATGGCAAGTGGACGGAGTGCCTGTGGGGCGTGGACCCCGCGGAGTACGAGGCCTTCAGGAGGCAGGAGCGCAGGGGCGAGCCCCTGAGAACGGCACCGTCGGTAAGGCGCCGTCCGGCCCTGTCCCCACTCCCCGGCGCTGGGGACGGGCCCTGGGGAGCCACCCCTGCCCGCCCCCAGCCGGCGGGCCTGCGGGGGGAGGTGCGCAGACTCCGTCTGTCAGCGGCCTGTGCGTTGGGGAGGGTGCGTCCACATCCCAGCAGTGCGGCGGGTGTGGGGTCCTGGGTCACAGTGTCCTTCCCCCAAAGCCAAGCCGAGTCAAACTGGGGGCACCTCCGTTTCCTTCTGGAGACGCCATGCTGTGCACAGCTCGGATGACCATCCTGCCTTCCCGCCCCGTGAGCCTAGACTTACTGGACGGCAAGCGAGGTCACTCCTGGTGTTCCGTTCTGAGTGCGGACAGTGCTCCTGCGGCCACAGGTTGTGCCAGGGCCGCCGCTCCCTGGGGCCGGGGGGCCGCTGACCTGCGGGCGTCTGCGCCGACAGCCGGGAGGGGCGGTTCAAACCGGGTCTAGAAAACCGTTTTCTAGACGACACACCGGCCCTCAGGTGTACAGCGTGCACCTCACAGGCGGTCCAGCCGCCGCTCAGACAGGAGGCCGGTGCTCCCGCAGCCTCACCCTGCGCCGCCTGCCGCCTGCCGCCTGCCGCCTGCCGCTGGGCCTCTCGTGGTGTCGCTCTTTCACCACCGAGAGCCAAGTCCGTGCTCAGACGCACAGGCCGCCACGCTGTTCCTGCTAGGGACGCCTTTGATGCGCTCGCGGAGCTCCGTTACCCCCCGGGCCACCAGGAGGTGACAGGCCTCGTCCCAGTTCAGCCCTGGGCCACCTTGGGGCCGGCAGCCAGGTGGCAGCCCAACGCGGCGTTTGCCACGCTGGCGCACTCTGGCGGCTGCACAGGCCACTGCTGTGCCCCGGGCCCTTTGGCGGAGGTCCCAGCTCTGGGTGGGTGGGTGTGGTCGAGAGCGCAGCCCCGGTCTGGACCGCGTCTCGGTCGGGGGAGCGTGGAGGGAGGCCCCTCAGCGTGGGCAGGACGTGCTTCTGGACGGTGCCGCCGGCTAGTGGCAGTCAGACCCCGAGGCGCGTCCTTTCTCGGTGCCCGCACTCCCGGGAGGAGAGCCGCGCCCGCCGCCAGCCCTGTGCCCTGCCCGTGGGGGCCCCAGCGCGGGAGCTGCGCAAGGGGGGTGGGCGCGCAGAGGCAGGAGGCCCGGCCCGCCCTCAGACGGCAGGCAGCTGGGCCCAGGCGGGCGCCCCGCCCAGCCCGGGGCTCGGCGCCGCGCCCCCGCGCCCCACCCGCCCGCTCTGTCTTCCAGGACGCCGGCTCCGAGCAGGCCGACGGCGACGCGGGGGACACCGTGCCGGAGGCTCCGGACGCTGTGCAGGTCATTCCCGGCAGCAAGCTGCTCTGGAGGGTCAACAGCCGGCCCCCCAACTCTGCCCAGGTCCGTGCGCCCCTCCCTGGCAGTGCCCCCCGTGAGCCCTGTCCCCTCGGCCGCCCGCCCGCCCAGAGCAGACAGGGCCTCGTCACCCGGTTGGGCTGAGCTGCAGGGCGGCCCTGGGGGTCCTGTCCCCTGAGCCACACCCAGCCAGCCGGCGACACAGGCTGTGCTCTGTCCTCACGGGTCCTGGTGACACGGACATGGCTGACGCGCATGTCTGAACATGGGGCAGCGTCCCAGCTGCCCCGGGCGGCGGGCAGAGGCGGCCTGGACACGGGGCCCTGGGAGGGCTGTGCCCGGCGCCCTGCTGAGCCGCTTGTGCGGACGCTGGTTGTGGTTTGTCCCTGCAGACACGTTGCAGTATTTAGTTTTGAAAAGTAAACATGCAGTTTGTATTACATACAGTTATTATAGTAACATTAATAATTGTATAATCACAACATAAGTCATTTTTCATGCTTTTAAGTCATACATTATCTGTACGTGGAACACACACGACGTGTTATAACTTTCCACGGTGCTGTCAGGCCCTACGACACAGCAAGTGTGAGCGCGCAGACCACTCAGCCCGGCAGTGCTGGGAGGCAGGCCCCCGGGCGGGCGTCGAGGGGACCTGGGGGTGCCGGGGCAGGCCAGGGAAGGCCCCTGCGCCGCCTGGCCTGGAGGGGGCGTCTCCTGGCGCAGAACCCCCGCTCGCGAGCGGGACGCGCCCAGGAGCGCACACGTGACAGGGGCGGCTCCGTTGGCCCTAGATGTACAACTTCACCAGCTTCACCGTGACCCTCAACGAGCTGCAGCCGGGCATGGAGCAGACCCTGGCGCCCACCGACTGCCGCCTGCGCCCCGACATCCGGAGCATGGAGAACGGCGACATGGGTGCGTGCCTGCGCAGGGCGGGGGGCCCGGCCCGGGACCCACACCTGGGCCGCCGCAGTGCCGGGACCTCACGGGCCGCGACACCTGCCCGAGGCCGCGCCCCAGGGTGCGGGTCCCTGAGGGCAGCGCATGCTCCGCGGGGTCCGGGGAGGGCGGCCCCTCACGGAGACTGTGTGCTGGCCTAGACCTGGCGAGCCAGGAGAAGGAGCGGCTGGAGGAGAAGCAGAGGGCGGCCCGGCGGGAGCGCGCCAAGGGGGACGCGGAGTGGCGGACGAGGTGGGGCCCGCCGCGGGGGGGTGGTTGGGAGGGCGGGGGGTGGCGTCCCCCTGGGGACGGGAGGAGGACCCCCCCACGCGCGCCTGTGGCTGAGCAGACGCAGTCCCTGCGTGGCAGTACGATGGCGGCGGCAGCCCCGTGCCCGGCGCTGGGCCTGCCAGGCAGATGGGCCGAGGCCCTCGGACGTGGGCGTCCGCCTGCTGGTGGGGGGCAGGCCAGCTGAGACCGGGCCCCCCACCCTGGCCCCTGCGCATTGGACCCTGAGCACTTTCTCAAATGTGGCAAATTTAAAGAAACGGAGCCAAAGGAAGGTGGCGACCGAGGGAGGGCGGTGCTCGGGGACGAGGCGCGGCTGTCAGGAGCCCCCAGGAGCCGCCGAGGGTCGCCTGCTGTCCCCGCCCGTCCGGCTCCTGACACAGCCGCCGCCCCAGAGGCCTCGGCCACGTCCTGCCTGCGCCTGCGGGAACGGGTGTCTCGTGGGTGTCCCTTGTTCTCTAATGGCTGTCATGTGACAGCAGCTCGTTTAGTGAGGGTTTGACCCATCAAGGGCTGCAAGTCTTCAGTGTAACTTTAAAAACTAGATGTAAGTTAAAACTACTCTCAGGAATTTCTGGGTGGTTTTGAGCAATGTGTCAGCGTGCTCCTTCCTGTCACCGTTTTCAGGGCCTGGTGGGGTCCCCTGTGGCTGTCACGTGGCTGTGGTGTCTGAAACCAGCTTCTGGTGGCTGAGCTTCCAATTTCATTTAACATTTTACTCCTCATAGAGTTTCATGAGTGGAATTTGCTTTGTTCCAGCAAGAGATAGCTTGAAACTAGTTAATGTTCCTTCATTGTTTTTTAAGCGATTTAAAAAAATATCATGAAAATACGGACACTTTGTCCCGAGGAGACAGTTACCTCTACTTTGTGAGTCCCCCACACCCGCTCCCTGGTCAGCTGTGAGTGTCCGTCGCTGTTACCACGTCAGGAAGCAGAGAGGCTGCGGGCAGGTGGCCGTGTGCGGGGGCCCGTGACAGGGACCCCGCCCCTCCCGGGTCGCAGCCTGTGACCCTCCTCCCGGGGGGGGCGCCGGGCCCAGGCCCCTCGTCTGGTGGCGGCCGGCCAGCCGCTGTGCTGTGAGGCCCGCGGTGCTGATGGGGGCGGGGGGGTGCGGCTGTGCTGCCGCCTGAGGGGACGCTCCCTGACCCCTCTGTGTTGCAGGTGGTTTCGCCAGGGCAGGAACCCACACACTGGGGCCCCCGACTGGCTGTACGCAGGGGGCTACTTCGAGCGGGATTTCTCCGGCTGCCCAGACATCTACTGAGGGCCCAGGGCGGCCCAGGACACAGACGGCTGCCAGGCCGGGCCCCGCCCGCGGCTCCTGCGAGCTCCGGGCCGGCAGGACCAGCCTCTCCGAGGGCCGTGTTCACGGAGAACGGGGCCCGGCCGAGCACGTGACCCCGATTACCTTTGATTGCCTAACAGTTACACTGTCACGGCCTCTTCATAAAGCTTCCCTTGGGATCATCATGTTTGAATTGAGGTTTGAGAAGGAAAGTTCTTTAACTCCTTTATGTGACAAGCGTCAGCGGGGGCGTGGTAGCTGGCAGCACCCCGATGAATTTGTCACTAGAGGAAGACGCAGGAAGGGGGCTGTGTGCCTCCTGAGGAGGCAGGGTCCCGGATGTCTGGAGGCCTTTAAGCTGGAGCCAGTGGCGGGACAGGGCGGGTCTGGAACGCAGCCCCGCAGAGCACCTCCCGGGCCGGCTGGAGCGAGCCTTTCCCGGCGCCGGACCGGGCGAAACGAGTGGGCGTCAGCCTGTGTGTGTGGCCAGCCTTCAATAATGTAAAGATGACTTCTAAAATATTTAAGTTAAAAGTACTTGACCAGGATTTGCTAAAGAGCGAGATACGCATTAATCGCCAGCTGTGTACGTCTGGAAGAGGCATTGCCGCGCCTGCCCGTGACCGTGGCCTCCGGGGTGGCACTGCCGTCGCTGAGGGAGTCCTGGACGGCTCTGGCCGCGGCTGCCCCCTATCGCCAGGGCCCCACGCCGCTGTGGGCCACGCCCGTGTCACAAGGCGGGAGCCACTCGTGAGCACGTGCGGCCTGTACCCGCAGCCCGGTGTCCTGGCTGTCCCAGCACGTGTGTCTGAAGTACAGGGGCCCAGGCGGGGACCCCCATGGCAGGCGCTGGGGGTCGGAGCAGAGGCTCCGTCCAGGTGCGTGCGGGCCGTGCAGCAGCAGCCGGTGAGCGTCGGCCCAGTGCGCGCCCTCCCTGGCGCTTCCTCTGCAGGGGTGCCCGCTCTTAGGGCAGGGCCCCGCTCCCCGGACGGACGGCGGCCTGCTGCGTGCGGGCGCACCTGCAGCTGTGCACACACGAGCACACAGGTGCACGCGTGCAGTGCAGGTACGCGCACACGCACGCCTGTACCTGTGTGCATGGCACAACCCAAACATGCATGTGTGCGCACATGTGCCCACACGTGCCCCCCGCACATCCCCCCCAGGGGCCCTTGGGGGGCGTGGCCATCATGTTTAGGCTTCAGCACCACGTTTGTGATTAAAACACTTCTGAAAGCGGAGACTTGCCCGGAAGACATGACTGCGTCGCCTCAGCCGCCAGCGGCCACCGGGCGGGGACAGTGCTGCGCACCACCAGGTGGCCACGGACCCAGGCCCGTGTGTCCATGAGCCCCTGGGAGGCAGCGTGTTCTATGTCAGATGTCATGTCATGGGACCCACGGGTGCCGACCAGAGCGAGCAGGCCGCCTGGTGTTGGGGACAGCAGTCGCCTCTGGGTGGCTGGGCCGGCACAGCTCTGTCCCCGAGGGGTGCTGTCCCTCCAGGCAGGGTCAGGTCTGGGGGTCACCAGCCTCTCTGGCTTCTTGCCAGGGTGTGGCCCTACGCACGAAAAGGTCTCGTAAAAGCAGGCCCTGGTCCCTCATGGACGTCACAGCATCTGGCCACTCGTCGCAGCGTCCGCTTCTCCGCGGACACATGCTCAGCTGGGACGCACTATGCGAGACCGAGCCATCACAGCCCCCTGCAGAATGGAAGTGGCCCGGGCAAGGCCCCCTGGTTGTCCTGGCCACTGTGCCCCTCTCAGACCGTCCCCAAGGCTCGGCTGCTAGTGCTTGAGGAGGGGTCAGCCCAAGACTGGCCGCACCCGCGACCTGGTCAGACCCCGGCCAGGGCTGGAGGTGGCCTAGCACAGCCGTGTGGCCTTGGAGATGTCCCATTCGGGAGGCGCTTGCTGAATGTAAAGAGGACAGGCCACCTGCCTGCTGGGTCCGCACCAGGTCACAAGGACAGGAGGAAACGCCGCTGGGAGCCCCCCCGCAGGCCCCGCCTCGGCTCCTCCCGGCTGCGCCCTGGGGAAGGTCTCCACGGGCAGGGGCTCTCGGCCTCGGGCCTCATGTGCGCACCTGAGGGGCCGGAAGGGGAGGTCGTTAACACGCTAACGAGGCCCAGACTCAGCGGCGCCGACAGCCCGCACCCTGGGCACGGGGAGCTGTGTCCTGCGTGGCCGGCCGGCCCCGGAGAGGGTCGGCGGGTCTCCTCGGGCTGCTGTCTGCTGCCTCGGTGCTCAGGCTCCCAGACGTCCCCCGGATGCTGCTGTGCCCGCCGTGGGTGCCCGGTGGGTCCCGGTGAGAGCGCGTGTAACCGGGGCCAGGCTTGAGCGTGGTGTGTCCCTGGCGGTGTCATCGCCGCACGTCTCCTCCCTGGGGGGATGGGGTCCTGCAGAGTGACAGCTCAGATGTGTGACGGCGGTTAGCACCCGTCCGCACAAACAGCCGTCCCTCAGAGCTTTTTGAGAACTGTACCGGCCTGAGAAGATCGGGGCTTAACCAGCTCTGAACCAAGGCCCCTCAGGAACGGTGGCAACGGGCGGGCGGGCGGCTCTGAGCAGTTCTCACCGTCTCAGCTGCTCCGGCCTCTGGGAGCGGGCGCAAGTCAGACCAGCACTCGCCCCGTGGACGAGGGAGCCGGGGACGCTGTGGGCCCCGGGATGGATGGGGTCTGGGTTTTCTGGGCATCGGAAGACGCGCTGGACAGCGTCTCCTCTCCCCAGGGACCAGGCCTGTGGCCGGAGGCAGCGCAATGCCCAGAACCCTGCTAGCGTCCAGCCTGGCCCTCGGCGCTGGTGGCTGCGTGCTTCCCGGGAGGGTGAGCTGGGTGGGGGCGCTCACCCCGACGGCCGCCGCGGCTCCGGCAGGGGACCGCCTCCAGGTCTGAGTGCTCTCCGAGAGCTCTGGTTCCCACGCGGCTGCTGCCCGGAGCCACCACGTGAGGCCCTGGGCCCTGGCGCCAGGCTGCTCGCTCCCCACAGCTGGCGCCCCGCCCCACCCCAGCGGCAGCGGCGGTGGGGACAGGCAGGGAGAGGCGCCACGTGTGCCGCTGACAGACTCATGCCGTTCTGTAGCTGCCGCCGCATCACCCGCTGGCGCCGGGAAGGCTGGGCGCCCACAGGCAGGACTCGCGCCTGTGCCCGCCCTGACGTGAGGCCCGAAACCCTCAGGCTCTCAGAGGAAAACACAGGGCACCAGCTTCGCGACGCTGGATTTGGCGGTGACTTCTTGGGGGTGTCACCAAGGGTCCGGGCAGTAACAGAGTAGAAAGGCGACCCGCCGAGTGGGAGGAGGAGACATCTGAAAAGTCCCACACCTGGTAACATTGAGACCGAGAATGCAGAGAGCGCTTCTAAAACTCGACGACATAAAAACTGCCAACTGGCTTCCAGCCCCAATGGCGCAGGCAGGCACGGCTCGCCGCCTCGCACAACCACCTCTAAGTTACAACTGAGATGTAGAACCACTGGGGACCCTCCGAAATCGAGTTGAATGAAGTCTGACAACTATGGGATTAAAGAAACCACACCCATCCAGCCTGGTAGGAGGGGCACAGATGCGGAACGCGCTGGTCCCTCACCCACGTGTGGTGGGTAAAAACTCGAGAGGGCTACCCCAGGAGCGAGGAGCCCCAGCCCCACACCAGGCCCCCAGCCCAGGGTTCCAGTGCCAGAAGGTAAGTCCTCACAACTCCTGGCTGCAAAAACCGGCGGGGACTGAGTGGGTGGAAGAACCCTTTGGAGCCCCGAGCAGGTCCTCTTAAAGAGCCCACCCACGGGCCCGGCGGCTCAGACTCACGCCCTCCGAGCTCCAGCGCCGGGGGCAGCCTGAAGGGCACCCGTGGCGTGTCGGGGAGGCTGACGTGTCTGGCATCAGAGCGGGCAGAGGCCGGTGTCCCTTTTCTGAGCCCGCCCCCTACAGGGCCACGGAGCTGGCAGGTGGGCGCCATCCACCGAACCTGTTTGCTCCGCCCTGGAGACCCCCAGACGCCCCGCCCCACCCAGCTCACGGCCCACCCCCGCTGCTTCTCCACAGGAATGGCTGGTCTTGGCGCCTAAATCCTCTCCAACAAGCAGGAGCCAGCCTCTCTGAGCCCCAGGCTGCGCATCAGCCGCAGCCAGATGAGCGTCACAGCTTGGCTTCACCTGGGAACCTCCAAGCCCAGCACAAGCAGCAGCCGTCTCAGGTTGCTTTACAGCTCAGGAAGGGTGGCCTGGGCCTGCACCGCCCGGGAACCCCAGGGTCTGTGCACCCAGTGGGCAGCCACGGACCACGTCGGAGCCCCGCCACCTGCCCCTGCATGGCTGACCTGCCACGGGGGGCGCAGGGTGCTGGTCAGTGCTTGACCACAGCCGGTCCGTGCAGCTGACTGGCCCGGGTAAGCCCCTCCCATTGGCCTGCCAACAGCAATCAAGGCTCAACTACAAGAGGCAGGTGTATTCAGCCCACACGGAGGGCGCACCTCGGGTACTGAGCTTGGGTGTTAGGGGAGGCTGTGCCACTGGACCCTACAGGACACCTACTATGTTAGGCCACACGACCAAGACACGGAGGCAACGCAGCTCTGCCTAATACACAGAAACAAACACAGGGAGGCTGCCACAATGAGGAGACAAAGAAACATGGCCCAAATGAAAGCACAGAACAAAACTCCAGAAAAAGCTAAACAAAATGGAGACAAGCAACCTATCAGATGCAGAGTTCAAAACACTGGTTATCAGGGTGCTCCAGGAGATTAGTGAGGACCTCAACAGCATAGAGAAACCTAGTCAAGAACGAAGGATACACTAATGGAAATGACACTTTACAGGGAAACAGTAGAGTGGGTGAAGCTAAAAAACAAATCCATAATTTGGAACATGAGGAAGCCAAAAAACAAAACAAAACAAAAACAACAACAACAACAAAAAAACAACCACTCAGAAGAAGAAGAAAAAAAGAATAAAAGAATAAAACAAAATAAAACCCCAACGATAGTGTAAGGAGCCTCTGGGACAACGTCAAGAGGTCCAACATTTGCATCATAGGGGTGATAGAAGAAGAGAAAAAGCAAGGAATTGGAAATGTGTTTGAAAAAATAATGAAAGAAAAGTCCCCTAACTTGGTGAAGGGAATAGACACACGAGTCCAGGAAGCACTGAGAGTCCCACACAAGATGGATGCAAAGAGGCTCCCTCCAAGGCACATCGTAATTAAAATGCTGAAGATTAAAGAGAGAACCTTAAAAGCAGCAAGAGAAAAGCAGAGAGTTACCTACAAAGGAGTGCCTGTAAGGCTATAAACTGATTTCTCAAAAGAAACTGCGCAGGCTAGAAGGGGCTGGCAGGAAGTATTCAAAGCAGGGACCCACAGCGAAGATCACTCTACCCAGCAAAGCTCTCATTCAGAATTGAAGGGCAGATAAAGTGCTTCTCAGACAAGAGAAAACTAAAGGAGTTCAATATCACCAAACCATTATTATGTGAAATGTTAAAGGGACTTATTTAAGAAAAAGAGGATCAAAACTATGAACAATAAAAGGGCAAAAATACAAATCAACAACTGAACCTAAAAAACAAACTAAGGAGAAGAAGGACAGAGATAGAATCCTGGATACGGAGCGTTTTGCTGGTTGCTGCGTGGGGGAGGGGTGGGGGAGGGTGGGGGAGGAGGGGAGGGGGCTGAGAACTCCCAACAGGCAGTTACAGAACCGCCACTGGATGCCAAGTGCCGCACAGGAAGCGGAGCGGCCAGAGAGCTTGTACGCATGGCCCACGGGCACGCACCACAGTGGGGGGTTGCCTGAGAGGGTGGGGGGCGCAGGGTGGAGGGGGCAAAGGGGGAAAAGTCAGGGCACAGCATAACCAATAAAGTATAATTTTAAAAAATGACCAAAAAAACTCCAATGTGATTCAGAAATGGACAAAGGGCTTGAATAGACATTTCCTTTCACCGAAGAGGATCCGCAACTGGCCGATCGGCAGCGAGAAGGTGCTCGGCCTCACTAGTCCCCAGGGAAATGAAAACGGAGGCTGCAGTGAGCCCTGGCCTGCGAGGCGTGGATGGTTGGGTGTCGTCCCGCACAGCAGAAAAGATCGCCAACTCAGTTCCTGGTCAGGACACGCGCCTGGGTTGCAGGCCAGGTCCCCGGCCAGGGTGCGTGCGAGAGGCAACTGGCGGATGTCTCTCTCTCACGTCGAAGTTTCTCTCCCTCTCTTTCTCCCTCCCTCCTCCTCTCTCTAAAGTAAAATGAGTTGAAAAGAAACCCCCTAGAATGAAATACCACCTTGCCCATTAGGAAGGCTGCTATATAAAACAACAACAAA